CAAGGGCCAGAGCCATAGGGAACTCTCCCAGAAAGTGAAAAACAGGGTAAAAGTATAATCCAATGAAAGATGCTGAAAGAATAGCGTCATAGGAAAGTAGGATTTGGAGGGAGCTCATAAGGCCATTTAGTTTAGCCCTCTGCTCAAGGCAGGATCATAAACCATCCCAGCTAAGGGTCTGTCCAACCTGTTTCTCAAAATGTCGAGATGCAGGTTCAACAACCTCTCAAGACTGCCATTGGTAAGGCATTGAAACAGGCTTAATCAGAAAGTTCCTAGCCAGATGTAGAAGGAAAATGAGAAGACTGGTATCTTAAACAAGCAAACAGAAAGCTAGGAGTGCACCAACAGAGATTTTTGGGGGCGATACTGATGGCCGATTTTTTTTTTTAAGGAGCCATATTGGCCAATACCAATTGAATTCCAATATGCAGCCCCACAGCCTGGAGACCAGCATCCAGCTGGTAAGTCTGTTGTGGGGGAAGGAGTAGAAGGAGGGAAGGGGTGTGGGGGGGGGCACATCAAGGCCCCCGTTATGAAAGAGGGAGTGGGACTGGTGCTGGGGCAGGTGCTGCCCAGCTGGGGTAGGGCACGGGATGGAGCCATGGCTCATATGGGGGTATACAGGGAGTGAGGGTGGCGGCACACACCCTGGGAGGCAACGTGTGGCCCTGGATCTGTGTGCAGGGTGAGGGCGTCTGTAGGCTGGGGCCAGGGCTGTGCCAGGCTCTTCTTGGAGGAGGGGCTGGGCCAGGCTGTGCTCAGGGTGGGTGGTGGCAGTGCTGGGAGGGGGGGCAATGTGGGGGCTATGGTGAATTTTGGGGTGGCTGCAGCCCTCCCAATACCCCCTCCCAGTGCTGCTGCTGCCTGCCCAGAGTGCAGCCTGACCCAGACCCCCCCACTAAGAAGAACCCAGTGCAGCCCCAGCCCCAGCCCACAACAGCAGCCCGCCCTGCCCTGCGTGCAGATCCAGGTACACAGGCTCCCCATGCACTCTTGGGGTGTGTGCAGCATTGGGAATGCCCCCCCTCCCTCCCGTACCTCCTGGAAGAGCCGGAGCTCCATCCTGTGCCCCAGCACCCATGCCAGCCCCACTCCCTCACCACGAGAGCCTCAATCTGCCCCCCACACCCCTTCCCCCACCCTCGCTCCTCCCCTCTCATTTCCCCTAACCCCTTCCCCCATGACAGACTTACCAGCTGGACCCAGCTGCTCTCCGCACTGCTGGCCTGTGCTCCTGGCCTCATGCATGCTGCAGCTGTGCACATGTATGCAGCATTTTTTGGCCACTTTATCAGCCACATCAGACAAAAAAAAGCCTATTGCTGATACTCTCAATTTTCCTTATATTGGTGCCAATCCAATATGGGACCAATGTATTAGTGCACCTGTACAAAAAACCCAGAAAAAATAACAGGTGGTGAAATCTTGGTCCTTTTGAAGTCAGTGACAACTCTCAACTTGACCCTTGTGGGAACAGAATTTTACCTAAGGTATTGGCTAGGGACAGACATTACACATAGATTTCATAGCTTTCTAGAGTTGGAAGGGACCTGGTAGATCATCAGGTCCAACCCCCTACTCCAGGCAGGAAAGAGCGCTGGGGTTAGGTAGCCCCAGCCAGATGCCTGTCTAATCTCGTCTTGAACATCTCCAGGGTAGGGGAAAGCACCACCTCCCTTGGAAGCCCATTTCATATTTTGGCACCCCTTACCATAAAGAATTTCTTCCTTACGTCCAATCTAAATCTATTCTCCTTTAGTTTGTGGCCATTATATCAGGTAACCCTGAGAGGCACCCTGATAAACTGTGTCCCCTATTCCCTGCCCCTACCCCCGATGAGTTTGTAGGCAGCTACAAGATCACCTCTCAGCCTTCTCTTGTGGAGGCTGAAGAAATTCAGATCCCTCAGTCTGCCTTCATAGGGTCTTACCTGCAGGCCCTCAACCGTTTGAGTAGCACTTCTCTGAACCCTCTCAAGGTTATCCACATCCCTCTTGAAGTGCGGTGCCCAAAACTGGATGCAGTACTCCATCTGCAGCCTCACCAATGCTGCATAGAGGGGAATTATCACTTCCCTAGACCTGCTCATGATACTCCTACTGATGTAAGAAAGAGTGAGGTTAGCCTTGCTTATTACTTTGTCATACTGGCAACTCATGTTCATTTTTGTGTCAGCCAGGACTCCAAGATCTCTTTCCACTGTTGTGGTGCTCAGAATGGTACCCCCGTCTATAGGTGTGTTGGAGATTTGTTTCTCTCCAGGTGCAACACCTTGCATTTATCCTTGTTGAATTGCATCCTATTCTGATCTGCCCACTTTCCCAGTGTGTCCAAATGTGCCTGAATTTGCTCCCTGCCCTCTGGTGTGTTTACTATGCCCCATAGTTTAGTGTCATCTGTGAATATGGACAAGGTGCTTTCAACACCTTCATCCAAATCGCTGATGAGGATATTAAACAGTACTTGTCCAAGGACAGAGCCTTGGGGGACACCACTGCCCACATCCGTCCAGGGGGAAACAGATCCATCCACCACCACTCTCTGGGTGCGTCCCATAAGCCAGTTTTTCACCCACCTTACTATGAAAAAATCCACATCACAGCTACTCAGTTTGCTCTTAAACTAGTTTAAGTGATCAGAAACTGGTTTAAACCTGTAACAGAACAGATGTTCAGTGCACATAAACCAGTTTCAAAATGGCTGAAACTGGTTTAAGATAAACCTTATTGAATGTAGTATCAGACTTAACTGATTTGGGTTAAACCAGGTTATGCAATGTCTGTCCAAGACCCCTTCCTGGTTTAAGTTAAACCAGAGTCCCCCCAGCATGCTCCTGGGCTAGGCTGCACTCTCTGCTCCAGAAAGCATGGCCTGGTCCTACCCCTCTGCACTCTAGTCGGGGGCAAGAGTGTGGTCAGACACCAAAAGGGAAGGGGTTTATTCCCCTCTCCCACTGGGGCACCACAGCTGAGGTCTGCCTGGCTAAGCTATAACAGCCCATCAGGCATTTGTCCCTCTTCCCACTCCAGGGGCAGGAACAGGGGCACTGCCATCCACCTGCCTCACTGGCAGCTGTGGAGTTAGGGCTGCGGGGCTGAGCCTGGCCAACCTGCGAGGGCCAGGCCGTTGGCTCAGGCTAGGGGGCATAGGTGATGACGACTGAGCAGCAGGATACTCGGGCTGACTCGGCATGGTGGACCCAGAGCCCAGCAGCAGCCTGCTGTGGGGGCTTGCAGCCCCCGCTGGGCCCCTATCCTGTGCAGCACCTGCCCCACAGGCTGTGTGGTGGCTGAGGCCAGCAGGGCTCTTTTGCATACCTCATCTCCAGCTGCTGCTGCCACCTCTGAGTGGGCAGGTGGAAGTTGCAGCCCCACGGCTTCTGCCCAGAGCTATGGCTCCAGCTCTGGCTGCATGGTGGAGCAAGAGCAGGAGCCGCAGTTAAAGTGAGGGTAAGAGAACAGCCCTGCTGAGCCCAGCCAGCTTCTCCTCTCCTCTAGCAGCTACTCCTCCTCCCCCTCCTGCCCCTGCCATACCGCTTCCGGAGGTGAGGGCGGGGTATTGCTTCAGCCCAGAGCATGGATCTCCAGCTCCAGCTCTATCTGCCTTAGCCCACCCGGCATGATAAGCAGCCCCTGTGTGGGGAGTGGGTGGAAAGCAGCTGTAGCTGGAGCCAAAGCTCCATGCTCTGAGCAGAAACTGCTGGGCTGAAGCTACTACCTCCCCCACCCTCCCTGCCCTGCTCAGAGCTGCTGCCAGGGAGGGGAAGCTCTGTGTTGACTGGGCTTAGCAGGGCTGCCCTTATCTGTCCACATCCAGCTGAGGCTCTTGTCCCACTGCACAGCAGTGCTCAGAGTGGGGGGAACTTCAGCCCTGTGGCTTCTGCCCAGTGCCTGGAGCTCTGGCTCCAGCTGCATCTGTTTTCTGTGAACTCTGCCTGCCTGGTGCAGGGGACTGGGGTGGAAAGCTGGAGCCAAAGCTCCATGCACTGGGCATAGGGCGGGGTTATTACCCCCTTCCTCTAGCATCAGGTGAAGGGCAGGGAAAGAGTTTATAACGCCACTCCTCCCGAAAGTGTTTATCCCGCCACTCCTCCCATGCAGGAAGCAGTGAACGGCAGCCTGGGAGAGCAGCCTTGGCTGTGGTCCCCTGGAGGTAGAAGGTGGAATAACCCCCTCCCTGCCCCCTCTGCCTCAGGGTGCCATGCCAGCCAATGTCTGGCCCTCGCCCTGCACCAGAGTAGACTGATTCCACTTTGGGCTTTTTAAGACTCCCATTTAAATGAAAGTTACTTGTGTGAGTTTAGACTATTAAAGAGCTGACTGATCTGGACAAAACAGTCTGAAAGGCATAATTGTTTGAATATGCTTTAGAATGATTTTTTTTTCATAATAAACAAGGTATTGTTAAAGTGCTGAGATGTAGAGGGCGTGATCCTTGTGGATGGAAATGTGAATTCTGTTGATATCCCCTGCTAATATTAAATGTGGTTGAAGTGTACTTAATGTAATCTAACAAAGTTAATTATACATTACTAACATATTGAATTAGTAATGTAAAACAATTAAATATCTAAAACTGCGAATGAGCAGAGCTGTGGCAAATTAGGCAATTAGCATAGCTGTGGTCAGCATTTAGTTTTGTTTGCTACTGCAGTGTTTTGGTCAGTTCATCTAACTATTGTAACCACAACAAAATCTTTTAATTGCCTAGCAAATACGTCTGTATTTCTTGGTCCTTCTCATCATAAGTAGACTATGATTGTTTAACATTGAGGAAACGGGGAAAATGCTGCCTTTCTGCCTGCCAATTTTTCAATATCTGCAATGAGTCAAACTTAGTACAAGAGGGTCTCCTGTTGACTGAATTGAGAATATATGTTACATGTTGGTTATGAGATATCAACAATCCCTGTTTGAATACATACTATACATGTCAGGGATCATCATCATTATTATGTTACTGAAAGTGTAACATTTTTTCTCTTTTCTTTTTGATAGAATCAAAGGAAACTTAAGGCCAGCCATGATGCTTTAATGGCAAATGGAGATCAGCTTAATCTACAGCTTAAAGAACAACGTTTAAAGTGCTTCCAACTTGAAAAAGAGTTAAGGTCAATGACTTTTTCAAAATGTAGGATAGAAGAGGTAAGGCATCATACTACATTAAAGTCTGTCTTTGGAATTATTTAGAATGCAAATTAGAATTTAATGAAAAACATCACCTGAATTTTGCTGTTAAAATGTGCTGCTCCTTTACCTATTTCTTAAGTAAGAGCGTGGCTCTTGTTTAACATTTGGGGTGCAGACAGAAGTGACAATTTTTGCCCGATCTGTCCACAGAAAGCGGTCTATAGCCATGATGAAACACAAATGTATGGCTGCAGACTGCTTTAAAAATGGCCGATCAGGTGAAAATCTGAACCCTCATTGCATGAAGGGTCAGATAAAGATATTTCAAAACAGAGCGTCTTCTGTAACTTTTGTCTGCACTACCTCCAAGCCTTGAACTATTTTCAGAATGGGAGGGGGAAAGGGAGTGGAAGGAGTTCAGTCTGTGTTTTTTTTAGCCCCCATGGGAGGGTGGGGCAGGTGTATTGGAGCTTCCCCTCCCCAAGTGAGGGGACTCCCATTCACCCACCTGACCCTCCAGTGCCAGCTGAGGAGCCCCTAGAATGAGCTCTCTCTCTTCCCTTTTCCCCCTCCCATTCTGAAGCAGACAGGCTGAGAGAGAGGAGAGGTCATTGCTAGGGGAAATGTGTTCATAGTTTTTATAGACGGGACTTCATGAGATCATCGGGTCCAGCCCCCCCACCATAGGCAGGAAGTCAACTGGGATCAAGTGACCCCAGCAATAAATATATCCACCTGTTTTCTGAAGGAGTCCAGCGTAGGTGCGTGCACCACCTCTGGGGGGAGTTTATGTGTTGCAGGCTCCCAGTCAGCAGCCAGATTCCCTTTCTCCCTGGAACCAACAGTGAACTTCTGTTTGGTCTGGGGGATCATTGTAACTCAGAATGTTTCCTTCAAAGTGTTGTCAGTTAAAGTGGGGAGCTGTACTTGTGTCTGCACCCTTGATTCCATGGATTACCTGGACTCGATTCTATTCTGCTTTCTAAATGGCACTTAGAGATCTTATTTTACCCTGGCAAAAAGGAGGAGGACCCATCCACCTTTGCATTAACAGTTTTCATGGACTTAATCAGGGTAGAATAGGATTGCATTTAACCACTTAGGTACTGTTTACATGCCTAATTTACCTTGTAATCATTGCTTGTTCTGGATCTTCTTCATGCTGGGCCTCTTTTCTTACTTACAGTATTTGAAGTTTCATGTTGATGGATTTAATTACGGCAGTGGAGATTTTAATTGATGATGAGTTTGATCTGTTGCATATATCAAAGCTATTTTAAATTTCAAAATACATATTTTGATTGGAAGAAATAATGTTTACAGTAAAATATTGCACAAGTAAGCATAAATGTTTTTCAGCTTCTAAGAGACTTAAGTTATTCCATGAAAACAACAACTAAAGGCCTTGTTGTTAATGTCTATATACTATAAACTAATTACCTTTATAATTTTATTTTAATTTCTTCCTCAGCCTCTGTATTACTTTTAATTTCCTTCTTCATTTTAGTTGCAGGAGAGAATTAATGACCTGGAAAAGGAGAGGGATCTTTTAAAGGAAAACTATGAAAAGCTATATAACAGGTAAATTATCAGTGATTTTTTAATATCACTTTTACTCCCTTCCTTTTATCAAAGGTCTTCTAAAAATATCTTACCTCCAATTCCATAATTATATATGGAAGCTTTTATGCTCCCATGCCTTTTGTGTGTCTGTTCTCATTATAATACACAAAGGCCTTCAACTGTTTCCTTCATGCTGGTGAAACTTGTAGTTTATGTAAAGACTCTTATCAGGAGAGTTTAAGATCACAGAAATGGGGGGAAAAGCCACACTTTCTAAGCTTAAGCTAAATCTAATGCAAGTTTCAAGCTCCACTACATAAGTAAAAATAATTGAGGTAATTATAGTTAATTTCCAAAAACATAATGAGAGTAATCTGGTTGAAGAATACACTTTTTATGATTTGAAGTCATAGTCTATGTGGAAAAATAGAAAATATGGGGAATTTTCTGAAATTATTTTCCTGGGGAAGAAGCTAGAATTCGTTTCTTCTGAATTAATTTTGGACTTAGTGTTTGCATAGTTTGTCAATTTTGATGTCTCTAAAAATATCTATGATTCTATGAATCTGTGATTCTATTAAATAAATGTAATAACTGAAATCACTTGCATAGTTCTTGCAATATTTATTCTCTTTCTGCTGAGAAAGAAGCAAGCCATTTGGTGAGAGCAGTTGAGAACAACTGGCCACATCCAGCAAAGCTCTTAGGAACCTAAATGTAACCTAGACTGAATGAAGGTTCTAAAGGCCAAAAACACAAGCACCAAATCCCTTCCTAACCATTTAGGTGCCTAAAATTTCATAGATGTCTGTCATGGTCTTGGGGAGTTAGGGGTTCAGAGTTCTCTCAGGAACCAGGCAAGGAAAATGAAGACCATGGGCTAGATAGAAAGGGAACCTGTCTTGTTGAGTGTCTGTATCACAGCTGCTGTTTATATGCAGCAGCCACACCCCGGCACTTTACTTGGGGCTAGATGGGGGTGCTCCGGCAAGTCTATAGGCAGTCCCACTCAGTGATCAGGGCCAGCTGTGGGTTTGTCTTCCACCTGGAGTGATCCACGCCTGCTTCCTGCCCCTTCCCCCCCCCCCCCCCCCCCCC